ATGTAATTCATTTACTTTGGGGCTTTCTCTCTCTTTATTATTATCAAAACTTGAGGGCTCATTTTCTTTGAATAATTGTTGCCTCTCCAATATATATCCCAACATGCCTGCTAATGTTACAATTCTTATCAGGACAAGTCAGCAAGTAATATTGTATATAGATTCAGTATTGAGTTACACCTTACGTAATATAATAATTTAGAGTTAGACCTTACATAATTATTATATAATAATTTTTAAGTTTTACACAGATTTAGGATTGTTGGATGAGTGAAAATAGATGACTGAAATTAATTTTTGTTATTTTTCAGTGAATATTTTCTCATTACCTATTGTTAATCTCAATAATCTATTTTCATTCATTCAACGGTTCTAAATATATGTAAAACTAACAAAATTGCATTACACACTATAATTTTATCCCAAGATAAATAGATTGAAAAGAACGATGTCCCAAGACAAATTAATCCAGCTGAAGACTTAAAGAACAAACCCTGAGTTCCTAGTGTTTGTGTTTGTTGAATTTTAATTAAGCAAAAGGCCATTCTCATAATATGTGGACAAGGATGAACTAAGGGATATTGAGATGCAATCGCATCTTTCAAAATTTTTAAATTTTTATATAATTTAAATATTTTTTTTAATTATCTATTTTTTACCCTAATAACTTTAAATTAAATTATTAAACATTATTTGTTTGAAAGCGAGAAAGGCATATTTTTAGCAGCTAATTCCCTTATTTTCTTGCCACAATGAAGGGTATAATCCCATCGCTTGTTAGCCCGTCTTTGTTGCCAGTTGGAACACGCTATTGAATTTATCAGTAAGTGAAGATGAATTCTTAGTAAAACGAGACGATTGCAAATATAAAGTTTTGGATTATACTACCAACTTCTCTGAAAAACCCATTACAAGAATTTAATTTTTTAGTTTAACTATTGATATATGATTGATTGATTGATTATTTTAGGTTGAATTTGTAGAAACTTATTAAAAGAATGATTTTTTAATTCAATTTACTCTATTTGCAAACACAAAGAATCTAAGTCCTAATTTAATTTAAGAAATCTAATATCTCATCCAACTAAACCAACTCACTTAATTTTTCAAAAAAACATCAATTCATCACAACCTGGTAGATGTATCGGTTTCTTGCAACTTCTCTTTACTCCACAAATGCTACAAACGTAAAAGTATTGGAGAATCATTCATTGCAAAAGACAAAATTGCACTTAAATTTTGGGTTTCGACGTGCACCAAATAGCAATGTGCGCCAAAAAAGATAAAGTCGGTCCCAATAATTTTCCATCTTATGGCACTTTCCACATTGTCGTGCACGAGAAAATTTGAGATACTGGAATCAATGCTATCTATCTCCTAAAAAAGAATGGTTTGATATAAAAAATGTTAAATTATATTTTTTATGTTTAAATGTTAAAAGAATCTTTTGAATGACATGGATAATTTTAAAATATTTTTATTTAAAAAAATATTTATTATATTTAAAAATTAATTTCTCTAAAATTACAAAAAAACCAAAATTTTCTAAAATCTAAAAAAAATCCTAAAATCTTTAATCCTAAAACATCAACCCCACTCGCCGATCATCCCTAGTTGTCGCCACCATTACCGACTATCTAGCCACTCGTTGACGAGCCCCCGTTGTCGACCATTCCTCTCGTTATTGTCCTAATCCCCTAAACTCTTAAACTTATATACTTACAATATCAAATATTAAGATCCTTAAAAATTCCTTAAATGTCTTTGGCCGCACATTTGAATTGCGACAGTCGATTGACCGTTTAATCACCCATTTCCTCTTCAAGTAGCAGTTGTTAATTAGAAGTGGTGCCGACCAATTGCTCGCGAGAGAAAGGGGGTGAGAGGAGAGAACGGGGTGGGTTGGTTGGAGGGAATTGATTTTTTTATTAAAAATATTTTTTTATTTTTTAAATCAAAAATAAATTTCAAAAAAAATATATATAAATAAACACGACATGTATCACTAAACATATTCTTTAACAACCGAAATAAACAATACACTTAAAATAATAATATTTTTAACTTTAAACACCAGAATTAACAAAAATTAAATAATTTAAACACTTAAATAAAAAAATTATATAATTTAAATTAATTACTATTATATAAAAAAATTGAACAGATAATGATTGCTTTGTACCCGTCATATCCTTGTTATATATCTCAATATTTATCTAAAGGCCCACTAGAGTAGCACGATAGATACGTTTTGCGAGTCATGGTGTCATTGCTTATTTTTTAACCTAATTATTATGTGCAAATATGGGTTTATTCATTTAGTATTCTTTTTCTAGATATATTATCAAAATTCATTTAGTGAAATGTGCAATATTATAATTTTAAACATATTATATATATAATGTCATTATTATATATATATAAGACTTTTTAGGGAATATGAACCAACTTATCTCAGTAGTTAAAGGAATCGTTGATGTTTTTAGAGGTCACACGTTCGAGCACCAGTGATTTCAAGGGTGATTAAACGTTTATTGTCAAATAATTAAGAGTACTTAGAACAGATGTTATTTTGTAATCACCTTTAGCTTAATAAAAAAAAAGACTTGTTAGGGAGTACATATTAACTTATCTCAATGGTCAAATAAATCGTTGTTGATCCTAAAGTTCATGGGTTCGAGCATCTACGACAACAAGAGTGATTCAAACGATTGAAAGTAGTTAAAATAGCTTAATAAAAGAGACCATATTATCATATTAATGTTGTAAAACTGTCATCTATTTTCTATTATATAAAGTAAACGGATTACATAGCTCAGACACATTGAAAGAAAATCATTTTCCCTACATAGTCTCTACAGTTTTAATTTCTTTTTTTACTGGGTGAATTATCAAAATTATATATTTTTTGTCTGAAATTTTCCTTATCGAGAAGAGTAAGATAGATTTATTTTCACTTTATTATTCAAATGTATAATTATTGAAGAATTGTATTAATTTTAAGAAAAAAACATCCATTTTAAAAATTACATAAGTGAAGTAGATTTTATTTTTAACAGAATACTTTATATAACACTACAATTAAATTTAATTTAATTTCTTTCAATTTTTTTATAAAGGAGGTATGCACGTTTTTTATTAGATAACCACATACAATACCAAACTGCAATCATAAATCTCATTAAAAATTCTAAACCTAAATGGAAGAAAAATAGTACACCATACTTACGAATATAACTCGAGGAAATCAAAAGATAACACAGAACAACAACAAACCGAACCAACACCAAAAAAGGAACCTAACCAGCGCACAAGCACAATGTACCCCTAAACAAATCCACAGCCATACTACAGCACCGCGAAAGCACCACACGACCCCTGAAACAATATTTATATTTTATTTTACAACCATCCTATTATTCCAACAAAAATAACCATCAAAACAATCAATGAGTGCTTTTGGATGTGATATTGGAGCCATATCGACCTGTACTTTGCAACCTCCCTTGCTTAGGCCTCAGTTGGTTCCACACAAGAGCAGTTGAATATGTAATGCAATTTTACTACGTGATAGTTTAATTTAAAGTTAATTTAGTATATTTTTTTATTTTTAAATATTTTTTTATTCAACTTAAAAAGTTATATATAAATTTGTAATATTTTCGATTGCAACAAAAAAATTATATTGTGGGAGTTTAGGACTTACAACCGATAATATTATGAAAAATGTAACATTTTTTATTGTAACCGAAAATGTTATCATGTCTAACTTAAAAATCACGTTTTTTTTATTAGATTTTCAGTTACAACCGATTTCTACGGTTTTTTAACCTTATATTAACCAATTGTATTTTAAAATTTCCAAAATATATACTACTAGGAAAATGACCAAATTTCCACTCCGTTGTCTGGCATATTTGGTAACTGATACCTAATACTGCAGATTTATTTCCTTTGTTTGGCGATGGTCGACCCTCTTCATCGTGGGTGGTTCCACTAAGGATAAAGCTTAAAATATGGTTTAAGTATATTTACTGTTGTTGTACGACCCACGGTTAAAATATTTTTAGATTAATGTTTAATGGTTTAATCGTTTATTTTTTTTATATTTTATACACGTAAAATATATGTTGAAAATTGGATAATTTAAAAATATTTAATTATTTATTTTATGTACAGTACTTTCAGCTATTGAACATTTATTACTAAAGATATTGATTTGGATCAACATAATAAAATTATCAAATTAATTCAAAAATTGTGCACACACAACAATTGCAATTATGTTTTTTTTATCGTAGTACAACTACATGGTTAAATTTAACAGTTAGATTATTAATACTAATTGTATAAAAGTTACAAAATTATATTAAGTTAATTGGCTTGTGATTTTCAAATTCAAGGAGAGAATCGGTTAAAAAATATTAAATCAGTATATTGTGGATTTTTACATCAGTAATGTATTTATATTACATTTGTGTAATTTTAAAATTGATTTTTCAAACCCAAATCCATAATAGTTTCCCCCAGTCTCAAATAATTATAGCCATCATCCAAAACCTAAGCCCAACAAAAGTTTCAAAACCCAAATCCATTATAATATCACCCTAACCCAACCAAACTTCCAAACCCTAATCATTCAAAGGATTATTCCACACCCAGATGAATTTAACCGTACACTTTGCTTCTATTGGGTATTGAATCCACAACCTGAAGAAAATGAAAGATATCAATAGAGAGTTTTTAACCATTTGTACTAAAGACTTTTGATAAATATATCAAATTTTTTAAATAAATATAATATTTAAATACAAGTAAAAGATATAAAACTTATAGAGTTTAAATTTGGTTTTACTTGTTATATCCAATACAAAGAGAAGCAGACCAATCTAGGCCTCCTCCAAGTCTACTTAAAGATATGGCCCAAATCATTAGTCAAAACCTATTAAACATATTTAAAAATAAAAACCCTACGTTTTTAGTTCTTAATTCTACCAACCATGACGAAGCCAAAATCCAGGAGAAAATCAAATGCCCAACAGGAAGAAGCAACAAATCCAAGTGAATTCTCGTTCGACATAACCAGAGTAGCCGTGGCTCAGATCTGCAAATCGGTTGGGTTTAGGCGTAGCCAGGTCACGGCGCTCAACGCCCTAACCATGGTAGCCACCAAATACCTGGAAACCCTAGCCAGGTCCGCCACATCATTCTCGCACGCCGCCAATCGCGCCCAATCCAACATCCTGGATATCACCAACGCCCTCCACGACACGTCCCTGCAATTGGGTTTCAAGGGTGCAGCCACCCTGTACGGAGACGATTGCTTGTTGAAGTCGGCGGTGTTGGAAGATCTGTGTACTTTTGTCAGCTCCACGGATGAAATACCTTTCGCCAAACCCATTGAGAGACCAAAGGAAAGAGAAACAGAAGATTTAAAAGCTTCACCGGAGAATTTGCAGAGAGGTGGTCATATCCCGGAATGGTTACCAGGGTTCCCTGATGTAGGTAATAGAGAACAATGCAATCAAAGGGTCAGCAGGGAAATGTTGTGGGAAAATTCTACTTCGGTTCTGGTACATAACAATGAAGGATTTGAAGAGAAGAGAGATGACAGTAAAGGTGGGAAATCGTCAAAGAAGAGAACAAGAGTGAAATTCTGGATTAAGGGAGATCAAAGAATGCGCATGAATGGTTTTAGTGGCAATAATTTGTTTAGTCAAAGTACAGATGACGAGGCAGAGGTGAAACAGACTTTGGTGTATCAGAGGAGAAAGAAGCTATAAGCTTAGACTGGGATTTAAATTAGGGTTGCAACTATCAATTCCGGTACAATTGTACAATAACGGTTTCGAATTGCATCGTTGCTTAATTCCCTGGCTGAGGCTCTTCAACAGAAAACTGGCTTTTTTTTAATCTCTGGAAACATATATTTGTTGGCCCTGGGCCTTGAACCCAGGAACCCCTTCTGTATAAATATTAAAAAACTTATTGCATCCACTAGGCCATCAAGCAGAGCAATGTTGTAGGATTCAGAAAATTTATATATATTTTTTGAATATCAAATGTCCAATGACTAAAGAAACAACCTTGTATCAATAAAGTTAATGTAGAGAGAAAATTTTTGAGCCAACTATGAAGCTTGCAAAAAGCACATTTCGTATAATGCAATAAGAACATATACGGTTTGTTCACATTCAATGAATAACTAGAAGCAAACTTCTGGTGATTGCTATATCCTTTTTCTGGCAATGAAGTCTTCACAATATATTTTTTTAATATTTTCGTCACAGTATTATCAGAAAAGCTCTGCTGAAAAACTAATAACCCTATTCAAGAAGGCTCTCATTTTCCACAATGGAAACCATGGCAAACAGAAAGAACAATGATCAGGGTCAAGGCTATCAGTATTCCTAGAACAATTAGCTTGATCTTCATGTTCTGTAACCACATTTTCCTCCGTATTTTGGTTCCAGTGTTCCGAAAGTCTTGAGCCTGCAAAGAATAATTATTTCAGAAAATTGAAACGAATGTTGTAGCTACAATAGCAACATGTTAAAATTACATCTCCTTGTAATCGCTTAATCAGCAAAAGTCTGGTGCTGCTATCTAGCGCAGGGTTTAAGAAAGCAGTGGCATAGCAGCGTCTTTTCAGTAGCAACACTGTCTGCCAACGCTGTTGGACTAAAATAACCGTGAAAATATTTTGCACCAATAGCTACAAAATGCAGTTTAACAAAAGTTTGCAACTTGAAACCTCAGACACAGAGTATAGAAACCGCATCCGCAACCTTTCTTTCAAGAATATCCAGCACACATCAACAACACGATCTCACAAATCACACAGATTTTTTGAAAAAATCTCAACTCAAGCAGAAATTCAAAAGATAAGTCGAGCAATTATCCTTCAGTTTCTTACTTCTGGGGTGGACTCAATCAGAGAGCGCAAATGCCTGCTGCAGCCTTGAACTTAAAACCAAGGGAGGGAGACTGGAGAGAGACCAAGACCTGAGAGCTTAAAGCATGACAGACTGAAAAGGCAGCTAAATGTTGAAGCTTTAAGGCAGAGAAAACTCTAGGGAAGGAGCATGTTTGAGCGAATTGCCTGTAAGCTGTTACTATGAGTGGACTTGGTCACTAGAGTTGAAGACATGTGGGCTTATTGGGATGTAGACAGAAAATATGAAGAAGAAGAGAACATGGCTGGATGAAAATAAAAAATATATATAGAATTGAGGGCATTTGGAAATTTGGGTGAAACTTGAGTGATGGGATGGGGACTGTGTGGCAGGCGGTGCCAAATTAAGCTGAGTCCATTTTGAGTGACCAGACCCTCTTATCTTTTTCTTATATATATATATATATATATATATATATTTAGCTAATGCTTTAGGAAAATGATTAAAAAGGGTTTCTAGAATTATAAAAGTCATTGTTATATTTTACAATAATTTGTGCAGATTTGAAATAAAATAAAATAAAATTCATGACTGTGATCACATCCAGGACCATGGTAGCATCAGTTGAATCTGCAATCATGACAAACATGATCCGACCAAAACACGACATGACCAAATTCAAACTCCGTCTCTAGCATGTAAAATTAACATCTAATCCTACTGAAATGAATGTCTCTTTTCTTATACTTCTAGCATGCCTCATGTCTTTCTTTGGCAAAATAACAAATTTATACAGAGTACTCCAAGCCAAATCTCAACTCTTAACATGTTATCAACTGAAACAACAAACTTAGTTGATGCTATTGGATGTTTAACTTTGCATTGATATCTGATTGATGCATGAAGGAGAGAGAAAAGGGAGATAAACTGACCTGGTGATGAAGATTCTCAGTCTTATCCACTAGCAGCTCTATCTTTTCCCCTCTATCTAACACCTATAGGAAGGAAATTCAGTAAAAAAAATATCAAAAGCATGTTTCAAGTAAGTTGGTTATTACCAAAAAATTTATTATAATTTAATACGGGAAAATGCAAGTATTAGCATTTGGAAAAAACCCACAAATAATTGAGTCCGCAAGAAAAAATCTATCCCACACCAATTAAATATAGTCACATAGATTTAAGAGAGGACGTATCATAGACTTATCAAATTGAGTATAGGTATCTGTCACTTTGACTATGCAGTCAGAGTAGCCTAAAAATAAATGAAACGTAAACCACAAATAAACCTATGTAAAAACAGAGCACCAAAACCCATATCATCTACTCTAGAGTCATTCCCCTATCTAGAAAAAGCTGGAAGAACAATAGGAGCATAATCATGGTGCATCTAATAAAGCACATCTACCTTTTCAATGTTCTCCATCATAACACCTTTGACTTCCGAAACCTGAGCTTTAACCTTAGCAAGCTTGCTTATTTCTTCAGGATGCTCAACGCAGTACTGCATATGCTCTTTTAGCTTCGGCCTGCAATTTAAAGCATGTAATATTATTCTCTTCACAAGAAGATAAACTATCTCCATAAAGTAATTCAAGATCTTAGTCAGGGGCAGATACCCGAACTCCTTGCTCAGGCTGTTGGCGGGAGCTGATGCAGCCTTTCCGCTGCCATATTTTGAAACAAAATCATCCTTGATACGCTCCAAAAAAGCAACAGGCACTTGCCTTCCAGCAGACTCGTCGGCAACAACACAATATGCTGCAACATTGAAAAGTCAGCCAATCTACCAACATCATTGAATAAAGAAACCTGTCCACAAGAATGCAAATAATAGCACAAAATGGTTCTTACAACAACTCTTGAAGTCGATTAGACTTCATCAAAGCAGAACGCATAAGCACTAAAACTAGCTGATTGTTTAATAGATTTCTAATGATATCTTCTCTACCCCCCAGACAGACCACATGCTGTGAATCCCCTTCTTCTGGTTCAACATTAATGTGGAATGTGGATTACATAAGTGTATCTATATACTTAAATAAATACGAGATGTATTCCAATCATGTTTATGAGAAATTGAACATCAAAAGACCAAACCACACAAGACACAATACACTTGCACATGGGACTTCAACAACCAGCATATTGAACAGATTCAGTACACCGCAAAAGAATAAACCAAAAGATATCCATAATAAAGCTTTATACACAACGCAATCAATTTAAGCTCGCATACTATAATGCTTAATAACTAGAGATAAATTTAATTAATCTAAAATTAAACAAGAACACAGTTTCCACTTATTTTTTCATTTCTAACAAGTAATATTCTCATAAACAATCCAATGGGGAAAAAACCCAAACTTCCTCTCTAGATCTCAAATCTAACTTTTTCCCGACGATCAAACTCATTTTCTAAAGATGCGAACTATAAAATCAAGGAACCCACAGTTTAAATTTCTAGAAAAAGAGAAGAAGATGAACTTAACTGTAGCCATTGTCAACAAGATAATTGAAGGTGTGGCCATCACAGTTGTAAGTGAACTTGTTGTTGGAAGAAGGAAGCTTTTGAAGGCATTGGAAAGCTATGGAATTGAAATTCCCAGAGAATTCAGTGTACTCTGCTAAGATAACTTCCCCACGAGATACAAATGCATAAATCAACGATTTCTGCACCATTTTCTCAGATTTCTTTGGCTATGAGATTTGAGGAATCAGGGAGAAAATAAAGAGAGATCTGAGATTTGAGAATCCCTCTTTCTCTTTCGCTTTCTCTTTATATTGCTTCCCTTTAGTAGCACTCTTCTGCTGGCATTTTGTATACCTATAGATCACAAAAAGGCAAAGTAAAAATGGTTTAATGAGGTTTAAAGAAAGCTACGATTCAAAACCTTTTCCAATAATATAATAATCCACTAATATCTTTAATTTTAATTTAAGAGTTAAAGTATTTTTTTATTTAATTAATTCATTTTAATATTATTATTTAAATTACAAGGTAAAGGAGTTGATAAAATTTTATTATAATTTTGGTAGAAATAGTATTCCAAGTAAACCAAACCCTTTTATTTCCTTTTAATTTAAATTAAGGGTAAATTGGTTATTAAAATATGAATAAACTTTTATTTTTAGCACTGAAGTTTTAGTAGTAGTAAAATGATCATTATTGTTTTGTAAGAAATCAATTGCTCAACCATTAATAGATGGTACTACAATTATAGAAGTCTAATATTAAGTAATGAAATGATCGTTAATATTATCGTTTTATTAATGAACTGTAAAAAAATTATGATTCGATTAAAATATTAAATCAAATATCTTAAAATCATTCAATCAATACATAGTTAATATTGTATAACAATTCTTGTAGACTATATTTATCCCATTAAACTTATTATTTTATTGACTTTTGATGTTATCTTTTCTATTTTTACTTCGAATTATTTAAAAGTATTAATATAAGAATATGTTTTAAAAAGTCTGAAACCATATTATTGAAGAAAATGGAGAGTGGGTATAGATATCAGATAGGGTGTGCTTATGCGTTGGGGTGAAATTAAGTTTCGGAGGATGTAAACCAAAACACAAAACAACGCCGTCTGTGGGAATCGAACCCACGACCACGTGGTTAAAAGCCACGCGCTCTACCGGCTGAGCTAAGACGGCAAGGATGGCATTTGTCTAATTTAATTTTATTTGATCTAAACTTTTTATTATTATCGTGATGAAATGGTCCCTAATTCGTTTATCAGAAGCGCGGGAAAAAAAATTGGGTACTGTTGCCAACAAATCAGAGAAAAGCCTAAATTTCGAGGTGTGGAGATAATTAGAATTAGGGTTTTGAATTGAGAAGGGGAAAATGGCGGAAGATAGGGGAACAACAGGAACCATAAACCTAAGCCAGAATGTGAAAGAGGAAACAATAAATATAAGTGGTCAGATCCATCATCTTCCATGCTACATCAAATTCAATGGCCCTTGCTCTGTTTCTCAATACTTCAAACCCAAACTCAAAGGTAATACCATTTTCCTTTTTCTTTTTTTATAATTAAAAGTTTTTGCAAATGTAAATATTTTTTATTTTATTGTTAGTAGGGAAGGATATTGATGGGTTAACAGTAAAGGAAGCGCATTTTAGAGGAAGGAAGCTTCAAGGAACTACTATTTCTCTTCCAAATGGATATTCTGGTAGTTTCCCCCCCCCCTTTTCTTTCTGGGTTTTTGTATGTCTAATTTTGTTGATGTTGTGGACTGAAATTCTGAGTTGCAGTTGCATTGTATGTTGGAACTGTGAACATTTTGTTCTTAACAATGTTTCCAGCCCTCTGAATTTTAGGAAAATCTATATGGTTGTCCGTTTACAGGTAAATTATTATGTAAAAAACAACGGGCAACGAATTGCATGATATATGTTTTTTGGGTTTTAGGAAGTTCCACTAATCTTGCTGAAGGCTTCATGCTCTACGTATTACAGTATTAACAGATTCGATATAGTCGTAGTCCATACGCTGTTCCCTCTTGTTTTCTTCTTCATTGTCCCTGTTCAGAAATTTCATCTTTGTTTTTTGGGTTTGCACAATTGGGTTCATAGTTCTTCCCGACGACTTTTCATGGCTTTAACTAGATGAACTTCTCTTATCTAGGAGGCTCGTAGGGTGTCTGTTTACTGAAGTTAGCATCAATTTAATCCTGCCATATTTGTTTCTTTTGTTTGCTTTTATGTAGATTTGTATGTGTTTCAATAGATTTCAAGTGATTTTACTATTCCTGGTTGCTCTTGCAGGCTTTGTTCTTACGAAGAAAACCTCGGGCAAGAGGAAAGCTTGTGATGTATCTGAAGAGAACTCAAACAATTGGGAAATGAAAGCCATGTTTGATGAATTAACATATTGGAATCACGATAGCCTTCCATCAAAAGATGATCCCTTCCTGCGTTCTTTTCATTGGTTTGCTGTTGCAGAAGCTGTAAGTTTATCCATCATACGATGCCTAAAGGCACGGAAATATTCTTCAATTCCGATTATTTTGGGCCTAGTTCTTGATGTTACATTCATTGGTTTATAGTCATCTGACAAAGGCAAGCCTATGTATTTAAGTCTAATGACGCAGGAGCTTATACTAGAGGTTTCCCTTAACCCTAAGTTTTTCTCGAGTTCCATCTTCTTTCCTACTCGTTTGTTCAGCCTAGTTCTTTTGATTACTATTGTTGTTTTTATTCTTACCCATTTCATATAAGTAGTCTAGTCCATTCAAAATCGTTCCCGTTCTTGATTAAGTTGGATCGAGTTTGAGGTATTTATTTATGTTGTATTAAACCGTCCAAATGATATCATTGTAAGAAATTGTGTTTATATTGACTAGGATCTCATTTTGTTAACAATAAGTGTATGCGTAATTTCTTCCCATCTTACTCTGAGAAGCATCTTTTGCAGCTGCACAAACCGGTAAAAGCTGAAGACTTGGCTACTGTTGATGCTGCCCCGGGGAGAAACTAGTGGACCAATAATTGAAAGCGTGGAGCATCTTCTGATATCCGGCCACTGCATTTCTTTCTTGTACAGTTCGTAGTGGGGAAAGAATTGATAGGCTGAGTGAAAACATGGCGAAAATCCGATAACCTTCATCTATGATTTACTGAACTTCTGATTCGTAGAGTAAGTTAGACTTATCAACATCAAAAATCTCTTTGGAGGAGCACAAACTAGGAAAAGTCGTTAATTCAATGATCAATCAAGACTATTCTCTTTCAATATGTTAGTCTGATATGAGTTTAGTCATCTTGTCTTTGCATTGTTGTCTGTGTACCGTACCAGCTCATTCAGTCTAGGAATTACTAGGGTTTTCTCCTTTCCTTGGCGGGGAAGGTTTAGAACCATTAGAATGGAGTTAACATATGCTTTGGAATCTTGAGTGACACCAATGCTGGATGACTTTTCCCTTAATCTAGTCGTCTTGAGTGGCCAATGAACCTCAAATTTCATCAAAAGATTCACTTTGATTTCCTTGTTTGATTTATCATATTAGATTCCCTAGAATCTCTCAAAAGAAACGAAATCACCCCAAAAAGGTTCAAACTTCTTGAATCTCAATCTACGCATTCCACCATCATATGACCTGTGTCTAGATATATGTTCTTTCTCTCACCAACAACAATCCCTCCACCGTTTAGATCCTCGAATGAAGTCACCGACTTTGAGAAGCCCAAAATCTAAATCACTCATTTGTAGCAAAAGTAATTGAGTGACTCAATCATAATATAATGACCCATGTATAAACTTATTAGTAATATAGTGACATGTGGTGTGATTCACCTTTATACTAATCGTTATACAACGTAAGTCAAACACCTCAAGAATAAAAGAAATTTCTATGTTAGCATCTCAATTTTTAAGGTTGGCATCAAGAACTAAATTCTTTGTAATATATATGTTTGGATGCGGCTCATAATTGCCAAAGCTTGCAAAGATCTTAATGATAGGAACCACAAAGATTTTTTTTTAAAAACCCTTCATTTTCGCAATGGCTAGCAAGCTTCATCAAGAAGCAGATAACAGTAGTATCATCCAGCACAGAGACGCTGTAAGTACATAGTGTTATAACACACGCATGAACCAAACATGTTGTTTGGTTACCAGGAAAATAAATTTAATTGTCTTTTAAAAGTTACGTTTCAGTCATTTTTGTTATCAATTTATAAAATTTTTAATCATTTATGTTATTGATTGTTACATTTTGGTCACAGAGTTGTTGGTCTTATTATTTTGATGAAATAGTTAATTTTTAATTATATTCTTGAACTTTAGATTAAATGCTAATTTGACTCTAAATTTCGGGTAAAATATAGTCATTGACGTACTATTTTACAATTCTTTTTATATTTTTTAAAAAATATTCTAGGCCTGAAGTGTTGCAAGCGCAAGTTTTACACATTCTTTTTGCAATAACAAAGAGTTGAAATTATTTATTATTGTCTACCAATAAGATAAGTAGTGTTTTATGAATTATGATTCTTTTCTCGTTTTTATTTTCATAACAAACGGGGATTAATGAGCTAGCAAAATCATTATTAATTACTAAACAAAGAAGGTAGGTTACGTAATGTCTGTGGAAAAATATATTGGTCCCTTTTTTAGAGATTATGTACATGTATAAGTTTTACTCAAGTCCACAACGGAAGCACCAGTGGTCTAGTGGTAGAACAGTACCCTGTCACTGTATAAACCCGGGTTTGATTCCCGACTGGTGCAGTTATCTTTTCCTTCAAGCAATGCTTAGATTATTCGTGCTAGCGATGGCATTTTTTTTTCAGACCAACAGATGAAGAAGAAGCGGAAACATTAGTATTAGAACTGTGTTAACTTATTAACAAAAACCAAGTTCCCACAAATTAATATAAACCAAAACGGAGTTGGTCGTATGAAGAAAACATTACAAATATATATATTAAGATTCATATTTTATAATCTTTACTGATATTTTTATAATAATTAGATAAACCAATGTTATCTTAGAATCCTGCACAAATCTTTAATGTCCCCCGTGCATATTCACACTCTCTATAAGACTATTCCATTGCCCCTAAATCCCATTTCTTTTAAGCAGATCATTTCCCATAAAACTTTATTCTCTGGCCTCTTTCCATGGCATCATCATCTTCTAGCACTAGCACTGGATAGGTTGCCTCAGGTAGTTCCCTTATCATTGGTAATTGCATGGTTTTGACGATTCTTGGTAATTACACGTACATTGAATTTAAACCCTTTGTGGACTTAGGACCCCTCCTCAAAAGACTGTACCCTCTTTTATGCTTTTATTTTGGGGGATAGTTGGGTAGCCCTTTGGGCGGTATGATTTTGTTGACAAAGTTGAGTGAATTTTCTATAGCTTACGAGTTATGCCATTGCAATGTCAGCTCTCAAGGGGAGCATAGTTTAACGTTATAAACAAACCATCCGTGTAATCTTCTTTTAAGATAATCTGAACTAGGATTAGCGATCATCGATAACGGTGGTCAGCGGTGACCCAAGGTGATTGACGGGAGATTTCGGTCCAATTTTGGGGTCAAATTAATATTTTACCTTAAAGTTTAGGGTCAAATTAGTATTCTGTCTAAAGTTCAGGAGTCAAATTAAAATTTAATATTTTTATTAACATACTATGTGATCAAACTAACAGTAATGAACGACTTAGTGATCAAAATATAATAATCGATAACGTAAATGATTTAAATCTAATAAATCGATAACATAAGTGATCAAAACGTATTTTTTTTTCAAAACCAGTGAACAAAACTGAAACTAAAGTGACAATTCATGTAGTTAACCCTATACTTTAAATACTTGTTTGGCTCCAGATACAAAGCTTTTCTTTAATGATACAAAATCAATGTCAAATACATTTATATACTCGCACATGTAGGTAATATAAACATACAATAGCATACATGTAATGTTGCTCAGCAACTCCACCATTATTTTTGCTTGAGATAGTCCCAAGCCAGATTCCCTAGTATCCTCAAACATATACAAATTTGCAAAAATTATAATTCTTTGTTTACAACACCAAATTGGTGAAATGGATACCGAGAAGATAAAAAAAAAGGAGTGAGCAGAGAATTTTGAAATCCAACAATCATTAATAACAACGACCAACAGTGAGTGATAATGATAATCAATAGTGACTTACAAGTGATGAGTGGAGGTCAACCCCAATGATTTTGATTGGATTTGAGCCAAATTTATATTTTATCTAAAGTTTAAGAGTTAAATTAGTATTTTATCTAAAATTTATGGTCAAATTAATATTTTGTCTAAAATTTAAGGGTCAAATTAAGATTTAACTATTTTTATTAATTTATCACATCAGCATATAAATATGAATTAATGGTTCAGTGTCCAAAATAAAATATATTAATAATAAGAGTAACCAAGAAGTAAATTTTTCAAAACCGATATCAAAAGGCTTAATATAAGAATAAGTGTTCAAACAACACCCTAAGTTAAATTTTAGGCAATTTTTCGTTAACAATAAGTGTATAATAGTTTATCCATCAAAATTTTAGGTGCATGAATTGTAATAGTCATTAAAAAAATCGTTATATGACACATGTCACGTTTATATTTTTTAAAAAATTAGGAATATTATTAGTTAAAAACTAATTTTAAAAAAATATAAAAAAAAATTCGAAAAATTAAAATCTTTCATTCCAATCTCATTATCAATCATCGTCGATCATCATTTACCACCTTCGCCATTATCAAATGATCATCCACCCGTCGACTTTCAATATCGACCATCATTCATGTCGTCATCCCAATCCTCCTAAATTTACAAATCTATAAACTTAAATCTCTAAATCTAATACTCAAATTCCTAACTCTAATTAGAAATTTATTATTAAAATACTATTGATTGAAGAAAACAAGGAAGGGATATTCAGGAAAGTAGTAAAAAGATTTGAAATTTCTATAAAATTTCTCACTTTTTCAGCTTGAGAGTGTGGGGGGGGGGGTGTTTACGGGATTTGAGATTTTGCACGGAGAATGCTGGGATATGGGGGCATTCATTACAACGTCAGAGGGACGGTTTGCCGCCGACCGGGGGGGAGGGGGATGGTTCAGCCGCTGACAAGGGATGAAATGGTTCAGCAACCATAGGGTGTTTTTCTTTTCTTTTTTTAAATGTTTTTTAAATAATTTTTTTATTTTATTTAAAAATAATTTTTTTAAAAAAATAAACATGATAAATGTCGTTTTTAATGACTTACTCAAGTACGACAAAAAATATTAAGTACTCAAAAATTCTTTAAATACGTTAAAATATAATTTAAACACTTATTTTTACATTAAATCATATAAAAATAAAACAGTTTATTTAAAAAAATTTGGGATTTTGATGTTTGGTCAAGGTTAATACAGCACAATATAAAAGTGGAAGGATAACAGTGGTTGGTGTGGATGATTTGCCTTCCATCTGATTAGCTTAGCTTCCGGCTTCCATGAGCCGTGGCACTTCTATTTCTGTCTCGGGCAACTAAAACAGAGAAAATGGAGATTCTTTCTGCTGTGTCTTGTTGCAGCAACATCACTCCCTCTCCCCTTGTAAAGGTGATTTCTTATCCATTTCATTCTATTTCTCTCTCCATTTTATTTCTGTTCTGATTAATAGAAAAAATGAGGGTTTCCAAAGGGAAGTGCAAATCAAGCTCCTTCGAAGCTGAAACATGTCGAACGAGTTAAAAAACTGCAGTTCAAGAACTTGATTCCACCTCTAGTTGCTGCAGTCGTCGCCTTATCTCCCATCTGCAACACCCCAGGTGCCCAATCCCACTAATACCACACAATTCATTGCTTCCATTATCTTATATCACTTGAACTGTGTTGATGGAAATGTTTCATCCCTTCTAATTTAAAATAGGAGTCGTAATCAGTTGTTCTGTGATAATGATCATCATTTGTAGGTTGCCAAAGTGAATTGATTACACTATCATGTGACAAAATTTATCTGTGATAGTTTTTATAATAATCAAATCAATGGGCTGCAACTGTTCTCCTTTAGAGGGCTCCTGAAATTTTAGAGGTTTTGATTATTGGAGGAGGTACAATAAATTGAAATTTACCAATAGATTGTTTTTCATGGATGCAGCTCTTGCACAAACCATTGATATACAGAGAGGGGCTACATTATTTCGACAAGCTTGTATTGGGTGTCATGATGGAGGTGGAAACATAATTCAACCGGTGACACTCCTTTTCCATTTCACCAACTACAGATATGATAATTTTTCCTTTAATTTCCTCTCTAATCCAGTGTTCCTTGTTCATTTCAGGGTGCAACACTCTTTACCAAGGACCTTGAAAGGTAATTCAGGCCAATTTTTTTGTTAATAATCAGCAGAATACATAGTAAACAATGCAAAGAAATCCACATGCTCTTGAATTAGATACCTTTCAATGCAATGAAGTTGAAAAACCTGCAACCTGCAACATTTTAGTACGAGTATTGCTTGATTGAATGATTGTGTTACAGAAATGGGGTTGTGACCGAAGACGATATATACCGTATCACATACTACGGCAAGGGAAGAATGCCGGTAAGAATCAACATAGTATTCAACATCCTTGCATATCAGTTATTAGTTATTACTTACTCACTGCTCTGATCCTTTCTCCAATGATATGTTCAAAGGGCTTTGGCGAGAGTTGCACGCCGAGGGGACAATGCACATTCGGTCCGCGACTGAAGGAAGACGAAATCAAGCTCCTGGCTGAGTTTGTGAAGGTACAGGCCGATGAAGGGTGGCCGAATCTAGCAAGTAATGGGGATTGATTTCTTGTTTTAGCTCAAACTATTGTAAAGGACAAAGTCCATGAATTTTTTTATTAATAAGTAGAGAGGTATTACACTTAAAGAAAATATAAATATTTGAACCCACACCAAATGAGATAATATAAACATTATCAACTACTTGACTAATTAATGAATCTCAAAGGACAAAAGATTAAGCTTAGTCTTAGATATGATAAATTAACTTCATTGGACCTATGTTAATTTGGGCTCCCATCATTTCTTGAGCCCATCATTACATTTTAAATGAGTTAATTTTCAGCGAAAATGATAAAAGAGTTTATAAATAAACTTGATTGTGTTTAACCTTTTAATTTATACTTTATTTCATTTATAATAAAAATGGAACAAATTTTGAGATTAGTTCGAGTATAATTGTGGATTTCTTTAAAAAAAATTAAATAATTTAAGATTTTGATTTTTTTATTTTAATATTATGTGTCTTATATATTAATAAAATAGTAATAATAATAATAATAAATTCCAAATCAAGTAAAAATATTAATAAAATAATTTAGATTAAATAAAAAATTATAATTTGCAAACTAAGTGATTAAATTGTAAAATTTTAAATTTTAATGAAAAAAATAGAACTGAAAAGATTATTAAGTGATGAATTGTGTAATTTACCCTTAAAATTTGAGATGAATGACCTTTACTCGTCATTATCATTTCCAAGGCACCGATTGAACTATTTGACTCTTTGGATAAATTATTACCATGAAGGAAGACAACACAACAAAAATTGTTTTTATTAATTTAGGGTAAATATAAGTAATATTTATTTAAAGATTCTTAATAATTTAAGATTAAATATTTATAATTTTAATATATATAATACTCCATAAACTCAAAAAATAATAATAATTTCTTAATCACTTTGATCAGTATGGACCATATCACTTATTAATGCTTCAACTTAATCTAAAAAAAATTGGCTGACCAAAGGACTAGACACCAATAAATTTAAGAAAAGTTTTTATACATTTTTTAATTTACAAGTTTTTTTATAGATGAATTTCAGGTTTGAGTAAAATTCAATTTGATTTAAAAATTTGACTTATATTATATATATATATATATATGATTTGACTCAAAAAATTAAAATAAAGTTTAAAAGATAAATATGATTCATCAACTTAACTAATTCAAAAGTTTTAACTCGAATACTCACTCATAATTCCTCCCACCCTTAATTCATCCATCATTTTAAGTCTATTTTTGATCAAATTTGAATCACATGCTCCTCTAATACAATAGAATATCTACTTAACTTAAATTCTTATTTTTTAAAAAAAATTACTTTTTTTGCAATTTAGTCATTAAACTTTGTATTTTATTCAATTTAATTTTTTATTTTTATTTTATTTAAATTATTTCATCACATCGATTCTTCTCCTTTATAGTGTAATCAATACATTTCTCAAAAAATACATTCTTTAGAAAATAAATTATAAATATGATTGTATAATTTTAGATGTTATTTGATTTATTAAATAATATTATAATGTAAAAATATATAAATAAATATATATATATATGGTTAGAGAAAGTGTTAAATTAGACCAATATAAACTATAATATTATAAATATTTAAAATTAAATTTGAATAGAAACTTGAAAACTCCTCTAAACTTGAAAACTTCTCAAATAAAGTTTGAATACTAAAATATGACTCGTCAACTAGATTAACTCAATTTTTTAACTCTCTTCAAATAAATTAGATCGAATACTCATCCCTAATAATTCCACATATTTTCATTTTATATATATATATATATATATATATTTTTTATATTTTTGCTTCTAACTCCCAAGTAAATTTAAGGTGATACATATCATTTAGATTATATTTTTTTAGAAAAAAATTTATTAAATATTTTCTTATGTATAAATTTTAAAATATTAGTATTTTTATATATAAAATAAATTACTATCAATTAATTGATTCTTAACTCAATTGATGTGGTTGTTTGATAATATTTAAGAAAATGTAAGTTCGAAATACTTACTGTATCATACCATTCATTTCAGAAATTTGGTAAATATGAATAGTTTAGATATTATATAAAATTATTATTAATAATAATCATTTAATAAGGTGTAAGCTAAAATTTCATAAAACTAATGTTGGAAGCACATATTCACATATATCAAGTTAGATGCGTCAAGGAATAAAAAGTATCATTGCCCAATTAAAAACTATCCAAGGTGCGCATATTCGTATTATATATATAGACCATCATTAAGTTCTCAATAATGATTTTGATCAACTTAGGAACATAATCACATTTTGTTATGGACCCCTAACGTAAACCATTTTTTAAATGAAGAAAAAATAATTTTCCTTTCTAAAAAAATATTATTAATATATATTATATATAGATCATCATTAAGTTCTCAATAATGACTTGATCAGCATAGAAACATAATCACATTTTGGATATTTAGTTTTTGAATATTTGAACTATTATAATTTAAATATCTGAAAAATTAATTAAAACATTGGTGTAAATATACTTTGGGTCCCTAACCATTTAAAAAATAAACAAAGTGATAACTCTCACACACAAAAAATAAAATATTCTTCAATTTTTTTAAAAAGTTATAAATATAATATAAAACATTCAAAAAAATATTATAAAAATACTATAAAAATTTAGAAATATCAAAAGTTAAATGATAAATTATAAATATAAAAATCCAAAATTTATAAAGTATTAAAATATTTTAACACTTCAATTAGAAATTCGACTTCCTCAATCTAGGTCTACTACTATTTATTGAACTTATTTTCAATGGGATCAACATTATATTAGAGTAACAACTAAATTCAATTTTTCTTTCAATTTTCTATATCAAACTGGTGTTTATTAATATTTTATGTTGAAAATTGAAGGTGATTTTGAGTTTTATTGTTACTGTAATGTAAGGTTGATTCCAGTGAAAATATGTTTAACAAATAATAGTAAACTTAGACTAACGAGAGATAATCAAAGACTTTTCAGATGGTTTATAAATATTTTAAATTTTTTATTCTCATACATTTATAATTTATCATTTTATAATTTATGATATTTTTTTACTTAATTTTTTGAATTCTTTATTGTGTTTTTATTTTTAATATTTTTAGAAATATTTTATAATTTTAATTAATTTTTAATTTCTTATTTTTTTTCTTAAAGATTAAATAAATCCTCGAACTTTCAATTAAAATCAATTGTGTCATATATAAAAAATCAACCCAACTCCTACGTCATGTCATCATTCACATGTGGATGCCAACATCAACACTGTAATAATCAAAGTTATTCAAAGGATAACATGATGTGATTAAATGACTTTGAAGACAAAATTGATGCAATTAAAAGTAAGAGCAACATTAATGATTTAGGTTTACTTCATAGACAAAATAAACGAAATCTAATATTTTCTTTCATTCGTACTGTGGTTGGCTGTCCCTTGTTCCCATATGTAATGGGGTAAGGGGGAGGTAAGATAGTAGGTTGCCCCCAACACTAGGTTGAGAGCAGCTTACGTAGGAGACCTCCAAATTAAGAAATGCCCTCCATGTGACTCGATCCCACGACCTCAAGATTAAGAACCTTGTGTTCTACCAACTAAGCTTTTCATTCGTACTGTGAATGTAACAAAATCTAATATATTTTACTTCAATATTATGTATGAAACTCACTCACTGAGAACAGGAAAGAAGATCCATCTAAAAATGTGATGCACAGCTTGAAATTAACCCTAAACCCAAATTCAAGAAGACAAATTTTATGAGTTCATATATATCTTTTAATTGGGAGAACTAAAGAGCAACCTAAAAGTAGACTTGTAATTGCTGAACCAGACCATTAGCCTAACCATGCATACATAAAAATCCAATACTTCCATCTAACTTTAATCCCAATGCCCTGGAATACTACAAAGAAAAAAAGGAAAAAAACTAAGATTTTGAGGTGTTGGTGCTGACAAAACCCTAGAGGAGAACATGGAAATGTGCAAATTTCTTTGATTATTGTATGAATTTCTATAAAAGTGCTTCCAAGATTTAGGCCATTGTAAGCATATCTGTGGTTAACTGCTCGTACTTTATAATGCAGGAATCAAAGTTCTAAAAAAAAAAAAAGATTCGGTAGGAGCTAGCAAAGGCCAAAGAGAGATAGAGACACATGCAGTGAGTCATATGGGACAACCTACAAATCCATTTCCCAATGAAAGAAAATTGTTTTACAGAAAAGGTTGAAGGGCAGAGGCTGACAAAGACACCAAGATCTGGTTCTACAACCATCAAACCTTGTTTTTCCATTATTCGATTTCAATCAACATAGGATCATTTCTGTATCATCTTGGTAAAAGGCTCATTTTTTTGTCTGCAAATTACGTATATGAATAGGGCTGTAAATGAGAAAGTCGAGTATGAGTATTGTTAAGCTCGACTCAAACTCGAAAAGTCTAAAGTTGAGCTCAGCTTGGAAAATTCGTGAGCTTAAAATTGTTAAGTTCGACTCGAATTCAAAATTAAAAAATGAAACTCGACTCGAGCTTGTAAAAATTTGAACTCGAAACATTCTCGGACTTAGCTCGAAGTTGAGCTAAGTGCAAGCTTGAACTCGAACCTGAGCCTTAAGTACATGAAAATCTTATATTGCATTTAAAAGAAATGAAATATAAATGTTAATATTATTAATCTAATTAAAAAAAAATAAAACTTTAATATATTGTTTTTTAAATTACTCGCGAACTTTTCGAATCGGATATCAAGTAGCCTATTTCAGCTCGTTAAGAACTTGAGTCAAGTTCGAACTCAAATCAAATCTATTTAAATTGAGTGTAGACCAAACTTTAACCACATCAAACTCAAATAACTTTAATCTATCTCGTATTTACTGCCCCTATCTTAGAAAAAAATTCTTATAAACTCGTGTGGAACAAACTTAAGGCATCCGGAAAACCCTATCTTTAAAGCAATACAATAAGCTATATTATCCACACAAGTGGGACCAAAAATAATAATAATAAAAATCCTTAATAAGTATATATATATATATATATATATATATATATATAAGAACTTAATAAATTAAGTATGATGTTTATATTGCTTTATTTTCAACCACCACAACACCTACCTTAATCAAATAAATTAGATTCAACAGTTTTAGCTAATCTACAAAGCAAAACCATGTGACCCTATCCATAATCACAACTGTTGTGTGGTCCTTCCCTTACGTTAGGGCTTTGTCTCTATGCCATTGTCAACCATGGAAGACATAAGAAACCGCCCAAAGCTAAAGACAAAAGGATTCCTCCAACCTCACTAAGCACATGACAGCCGACTTTGTGTTTCTCATATAAAGACGAGATTAAAATATTTATCTTTCGGTTTTAGTGTCATCTTTATACAAAATTAACTGGTCTTTTGCTTAGGGTAAACGACATTTTACTTGTCGACAAACCAAGCATGCATGCTTGTTTTGAACCATCAATGTCCAAGTTTTAGCCTTATGTCCTTTGGCCTTTGCTCCTATCCCCAACATAAATAAATAAATGCTCAACTTCTAATAACCAATTACTTTTATGGAAATAAACACTAGATTCTTTAAATAAAATTAAGGTTGGGTTTAAATTTTGATATTTACGTAAAGAACAAGTGGGTTGAAAAAGTCGCCCCATGTATATTAGATATTTGTAATATTCGATCTGAATTAGTCGATTAATATATCAAATACCGGGTGGTTATACCTAAAGAAATGTTCAACTACTCTTCTTTGAAGTTTGACCAATCATAGCTTAACATGTATTAACCAAATTACTTGCAACCCCTTTAAATATAGGATTCCACGTCAGTTAATGTCATGATTTAGACCGTGGTGTGTTCTGTCATCATACTAACTTTTGATTGGTTTAATGAAAATTTACTAGGGTGAGGACGAATCATCGGTAGATTTGTTTACTTTTCAAATATACTCTTAACTGGGTTGACCATTTCAGTTTATTCAGATTCATTGAGCAGTACACAAAGATTAACATATTCTATTATGAGTTTTAACTCTGGTATTCTAACTTGTTTAAAGTGTCCCACTGGTCCCTATTCATCTAATTAATTTGCTTGTGTGCTACTCATCATATTATGAAGGGGCAACAAGTCAGTGTCAATAGCTGTAAGGAAGGACCAAAGACCTCCATTAGATACTCTTCTGTGACACAATACAAGAAGAAAGCAAAGAGAGAGGGGGGGCATTAGATTATATATATAATCATTGATTTGGTACCTTAAAACATGCATGTGTCCTGCCCTTCCTTTCCTAAATCTTTAGGTCTATGGAAGGGGAAAAACAAATCCTTCTTCTTCTTCTATCTTTCCTGGCTTCCCTTCCTGGAAAAGGCAAAGGCGAAAGAAAATTATTCATTTGTTGCTGTTCTGGCATGTTGGTTTGAGAGGTTGAAGCTGCCAGCATGATCTGGTAATGAATCTAGATATCACTCGTTTTCTTCTTCTTTTCTCTCTCTTATGTATGTAGGTAATTAAACTGTATCTGTATTGGTGAGAAATATCCATAGTTAAGTAGATCGTATACCACTAGTTAGATTCATAGATACGGTTCGGCATCAGGTCATCCTGCAGCTTCAATCACTCACTCACCAACAAAAAAGCTTTCCAGCTAGCCATGGATATTTCAGATTTTTCTCTCTCACGAGTAAGACCTTCATTCCAGGTAACTCATTATATTCTATATATATACGATGATGACGACGACGACGACTTTCTTTCCCCGAATGATTTGGTGAGAAATTGCAGTCTCTTAAGGTTATGTAATTTTCTTAACCTAGTCTCTATTTCTTTATTGCTTTCACACATACAATCAATACTTTTGCAATTATGTATATATTACTTGCACATGAATCCACATGCACAAATCTTCCTGACAGAGAGGAAAATTAATATGACAGATCGGGATTAACAAGTAAAACAATATCCCATTCGCAAAGACAAGATTGTAAATGCATTAACATTGTGACAGTGATGTTAGGGGACCAGCTTGAGGTTTCGTGACCCACCAATTTTAACTCAATTCATTATAATATAGTACCATGATTAGTTATCTACTATATATCTATATGTATGTATAATGCAGTGAACCTGTGGATGTATAAATCCTGAATCAGAAACAATGGCATATAAACTTGGTGAGATGCTATATATTCCATGGTGTTTGAGATAAACTAGATAGCATGTGAATGAATTGAGTGAGTGTAGGGTATTATTTGATGTGGATCTCCATGTCTGAATTGGTCTTAGGAACATGATTTAGCTGAGTAAATACCTTATAATACGTATAAGATGCGTGATTTGATTTCTTGAAATACACTATAACTTAGGGTTTTACCTTCTTAAGGTTTGAATTACAAGTAAGAACTCAATCCAAAGTTCCAAAAGCTTTACTCTTGACGTTGAAGCCAAGTCTAGATGCCTTTTACTACACTTTCCAAAAAGATGGTTCTTAGCTTAGGGTAATATACTTACACAGGCTGTCTCACAGATTTCAAATGAAAGGTATATATAGACATGATAGTAGGGATGGATCGAGGGGGTTCGGATGTGGTCACATTCCTTGAAAATTTCAGATCCTCATATAATTTAGTTTTTTTAATTTTTTTGATGATTTAATTTTTCATCCCTTGAAAATTTGTAATTTTACACTCCTAAATTTTTAATATAATCTCCTAAGTTTGCACTCCTAATATAAAATCTTACGTTCTAAGAATTTATAATCATATGAAAAAAAAACTTAAATTTTAATGATACAATTTTATTTAAGATTTGAGATTAAGGATGGGGGGACTCAATTGAAGACATTAAGATTTGATTATTCATTTTTATTTAAATCAGGGATGGAGTATGAACTAAGCGACTTCGATGATTGCTATTATTCCTTAAGTTCTCAGGTCCGAGTACCATAAATGTCAAAGGTATGAGCCTTTAATGTCAAAAGGGTTTTGAGTTATCTTTGAACATATATTATCTCATATCTATCCTAGATTAATAAAAAAAATTCAAATATTATCCCTTGAAATATTTAAATTCTCACATGTCATCTAAGAAACGCCAGACATATGGTTGCTCTTTCTGCTTCATATACATATTAATGTATATATTTATATATCGCTAATAACATATTGTTTCTTTTATTCTTCTTTCTGCCCAAATGTTGTATTCTCTTTTTTAACTTATTTAAAATATAGATGCACACAGTTTAAATTACAATAAATTATTCTGTATTATTTGAACTCATCAAATAACTTACAAAAAAACTTAAGTAATTAACAGAAATATTATTTTTTTTGGAAGTTTAAAGTTTAAACATCTCTATGTCTGTAATGTATGTATTATCAATGATTAAAAATATATGTAAAATCACTCACTCGTTTTATTTTTAAAAATTTTATATTATTAAATATGATTTTTAAAGTGTTTCATTCTCTGCTTCTTCCAACTAATTAATGAATGAAATTAGAAAAAAATTGTAGTATAAGGGTTAAATAAAATATATGAAAGGGTCTTTGAACAACCACATATTACTCTGAAAATCATTATAAAATATTTTTACAAGATATTTTATTTTTCATAAATATAATTTTGTTCATTATTTTTCATAAAATATATGAAAGGGTCTTTGAACAACCACTTATTAAGTTTCTTTTAGTTGTTTTGATTTGTCAAAAATAAAGTTAAAATCATTTATATCAATTGAAATACTACGAAGATCATGACCGAGAAACGAGAGAAAATAATGACAAAAAATAATATTTTATACTTTTTCCTAATTTAATCTTAAAATATAATTTATTCTTAATTTCACTTATTAATTTATTGGAAGGGTAATACTGTTTTCTTAACAATATCAGATAAAATGACCAAAATAATTAATAGAATGAAACTTTAAAAATTACATTTAACTGTATGAACTTTAATAGATAAAATAAAAAGGGCAAAATTACTTCAACGTTTGTATAAATGGTATTTTGACTATTTATTTTATTTTTACAGATCATTTTAATCTCTTAACGTTTTAATTTTTGACAGAACATCCATGTTGGAAAGAAAGTATTAATTGACTAACGGTGAACACTGACTGACATATCATTTTCACATGTGTTTAATTATTGACTTGATATGTGTCATGTCATCAAAAGTTATGATGTGGCATGTCACTCACAATACGTGATACGTCATACTAGCAATCAAGCACATATAAAATTGGCATGTTAGTAATATATATTGATTGTTAGGCAACTAACAGTTTCCTTTTAAATGGAATATTTTAACAAAAAAATTAAAAATTAAGAACTAAAATATTCCAAAATAGTAGAATATAGACCGAAATAATTATTTGTATAAATATGAGGAATATTTTTCTGATTATGCTAAATAAAAAGACATTCAACTTGTTGCGGAAGACGGCTATCGGATAGAGCAAAATCGCAACTGATAATTTGAGAAAATAAAAATGAAGATAAAAAGAGACACAAAATTTACGTGAAAAACCCCTAAATAAAATGGGTAAAAACCACGGACAACGGTAGAAGAATTTCACTATGAGAAAATAGGAATTACAACCTCTCTCAATCTACCAATGAGAAAACAATGATAATTCTCTCTCGATAAAAAGGAGAAAACAACTCTCAAGAAACTCTCTAAATTCTCTCTAGTATTGGAAGAAAGCTAGAATGTTTTGGGATGATTTTGAAGCTATATGAGCTAGGGTATTTATAGTTGAAACTTAAGGACTAATCTTATAAATACCCTAAATTACAATGACTAAAATTAATTATCTCATTACTCAATTTCAACAAAAATTAGGTGCCTAATTTTTAACTTTGACAAAGCACCATTTGGTGCCTAATTTGGTGCCTAAATTATTTGGCTTTTAACAATCTCCCACTTGAAGATTTGATTGGAATAATCATATCTTCACACCATTCTTTCTACATTGTACCTTCATGTTGCTTACGTTTCTGACAAGCCACAGGAGGATCGACACCAGGTAAATTTATCAGCGTTGATCGCCTTCTTCATGAAATCTGCTATGTTGTCTTTGGTATGGATCTTCTGCATATCTACTGTCCCTTCTTCCACCTTTTCACGAATGAAATGGTACTGAACTCGTATGTGTTTTGTCCTTGAATGAAATGCTGGATTCCTTGCTAGATGCAAGGCGCTTTGACTGTCACAAAACAGAGAGACATACTCTTGATTGTGCCCAAGCCCCTCCAATAGCATCTTCAACTAAATTGCTTCTTTACTGGCTTGTGTAGCTGCTACATATTCTGCCTCTGTTGTGGATATAGCCACAATTGACTGTAATTTTGAAACCCAGCTTACAACTCCACCAGTAACTTTGAACACATATCTTGTAGTAGATTTGTTTTTATTCAAATCCCCTGCATAGTCAGAATCTACATACCCATTGATTAGTAAGTTTGATCCTCCATAACATAATGCAACATTTGAGGTCCCTTTGATGTATCTCAGGATCATCTTTACTGTATTCCAATGCTTTTTGCCTGGATTCGCCATGTATCGACTAACCACTCTCATTGCTTGTGCAATGTCTGGTCTTGTGCATATTCTAGCGAACATTAAACTTCCCACTGCTGATGCATACGGTACTCGAGACATCTACATCCTCTCTTTTTCACTGCTAGGACTCATACTGGAGGATAATTTGAAGTTAATAGGAAGAGGGGTAGAAATTGGCTTACAATCTTGCATGTTAAATCGTGACAAGATTTTCTTCAAGTAATTCTTTTGTGAAAGCCAAATCTTCCTATTGCTTCTGTCTCGATGAATTTGCATCCCTAGAATCTTGTTTGCTGATCCCAAGTCCTTCATTTCAAATTCCCTAGCCAGTTGTGCATTCAATTCTTCAATATGATCTTTGTTGGGTCCTGCAACCAACATGTCATCCACATACAACAGCAATATAACAAAATCGTTATCACCAGACCTCTTGAAATAAGCACAAGGGTCTGCATTAAGTCTGTTGTATCCAAGGCACATAATGAAGGAATCAAATCTCTTATACCAACACCTCGGCGCCTGCTTTAGACCGTACAGAGATTTGTTCAACCTGCAAACCAAGTTCTTCTTTTCGTCTTCTTCAAAACCTTCAGGTTGGAGCATATAAATCTCTTCTTCAAGATTTCCATGAAGAAAAGCTGTTTTAGCATCTAGTTGCTCTAGATGTAAGTTCCATGTAGCACACATTGTCAAAACTACTCGAACTGTTGTTAGTCGAACCACATGAGAAAATATTTCATTGAAATCAATACCTTCTTTTTGAGCATATCCTTTGACCACCAGTCTTGCACGATACCTCTTAACTTGATCGTCACCATTTCGCTTGATTTTGAAGACCCATTTGTTACCAATTGGATTCTTTCCTTGTGGTTGTGGCACAAGGTCCCATGTATTATTTTTATGAATGGCTTCGATTTCTTCTTGCATCGCCATCATCCACAGTGAAGCATCTGAGCTGTTTATTGCCTCCTGGTATGTTGATGGCTCACCGTCCTCTTTTAAAAGGCAGTATGCAATATTACCTTCTATAACATAATCTGAGTGCCAATTGGGACGTCTTCTCACACGATCTGATTGACGAGTTGTTGGAGCTTCAGAACTCTCTGGTTCTTATTCATCATGTGCTGGTTCTGCTTCGGAAGAATCTCATTCTTCAAACTCTTTTTCCACATGTATCTGAGTGGTCTATAACTTTTCAGCTCTATCATCGTCTTCTTTTCTTTGTAGTTTATCTTCTATAAAGATAACATCTCTACTAACGATCACTTTGTGGGTAGTGGGATCCCATAAGCGATACCCCTTTACTCCATCAGCATA